GCTAGCGCCCGACCAGATCAACGAAGGGGGGCACCGGCCGAAAGTTCGGCGCGTGAAACCCTATTTGCCTGCATTTCCAAGAGCGTGTCCACGGCCCTACGGAAAAACCTGCTTTGCGCCCCTTCCGCGGATAAGGAATCCCTTATCTCGCGAAAAGTAGAAGACAACAGGTCCGGGGCGCCCTCGTCGGGAAGAAGGTCTATGGCGTGCAGGATTTTTACCTCCGCCGTATTTGCCCGGACGCCCTGTAGAACCCCCTCAGTTCGAATCAGGTCGCCCAGGTTGGAAAAAATCTCTGTTTTAAGAGAGTCAATTTCCTCCCCTTCTGAACGAAGAGCGCCGTTCACGAGCTCCCTTTCCTCTGGACTCAGCAGCCCCTACATGCAGAAGGCCTGGTCAACCAGGGTGATCAGCGCAAGGCCATCTAATATATAAAGGATTATGAAAGAAAAAGTCAGTACGAAAGCCGGATGATAGAACAAAAATAGTGAAAGGTTGACACGCCCCTTCAGAAGATGCAGACAGCAAAAGTAAATGAAAAAGGAAAAAAATATGAGTAGAAATACCATGTGAAAATAAAATCTTGATTTATCTGCTCGCCCATCAAATCAAAAGGCGGCATACCGGAAAAAAGAAAAGAACGGAACCAAACCATTCAAATAGTGTACGACCCAACACGGAACAAGAAAATCAATCTCAGAAAATGAAGTCGGAAAGATGCGACAGGAAATCGAAAACTGCTTCTCCACTTTAGCCCGAAAAAGGAGCTTTGGGCGAAGAAAAGGAGAGCGATTTTCCAATGAAAGCGAATTCGTCTATATAAGGAAATAAAAGAGCGAAGAACCGATCCATTGAGAGACTAAGCAGCGCCGGAACACCAACTTCATCTCGAACCACCCACCCGCACAAGAACCTTCAAAAGACGAAAAACTCTCTTTTAGTTTCGTAAACTCATTGCCAGTTGATGCATACTTTCAACCTTCTTTCCTTATTCGAGTAGAATATCGACTGTTTGCTGCCCTGAACCTACGCCCCCGAATTCATCATCTATTCTGAACATCGCAATCGAAAAAGCTATTGACCGGTGATCTTTCAAAAAAGTTGCACGCCTGTTCTTCTGTGAAATAAGGGAAAGTTGCTCACTCAAGTTACAGCGGAAAAAATTCATATTTCGTATAGAAACGAAAGCATATGCTAGTAGAGAAGGGAATTGCCTACTAAAGCTCTTTGACGAAGGCGTTTTCTCGTTATTCCGTTGTTGCACAGGTTCCAAAAAGTGAGATTAGGTTGGTGTTCCAGTGACGCTTAATATCTCAGCTGTCACTGCGGGAAGCCTAGCGTGGGTGCCAGCGTAGAAGTGCCCTTGAAATCAGACTTGTGCCATACTTGAATCGAGATTCCGTTGTCATTGGACTAGACAGAGGAAAATGGTCAATCTATCTGACCAAGCTCGACTGACAGGAAATGTTCTACTAGTAGGTTTCGCTTTTTACCTTTCAGGTTCTTTGTTAACAGCTACTCTGGTTCAAGGGTAGACAGTAATTCCTCGACCACTCCTTTCGGAATGACTTTGCTTTTGACTGATCGGCGAGTCGTTCTTTAGGGAAGGGGCCTTGAACCTTCTATGTATACGGGGGCGGAGGGACGCGAAAACAAGAAGCAAAGGGAATAGGGAGCACCCCACAAGCAATGGTTTCAAGCTAAAGCTCTAGTGATTAGAGAAGGCTTCCAAATTCTCCATAATAGCAGCAGTTTGATGTTATCAGTCTACAAGCTGATATAGATGGAAAATGACTGTTTGGAATCCATGTGCGGGGAGACTAGGAAAAGAAGCGGAAGGGAGTCAGAATCTTGAGAAAATAATAGCCAACCAACAAGGGTGGACAAAGCTGCTCTTCAGTCAGGTTTCTTAGTAAGCGACCACAAGACAGGAGCAGAAGCAAGGCGAAAAGTCTCCATTCATTTCACTAGACCGGCAAAAGGGTCCCCTATACCTGCGTGATCAAACTGACTTTTGTCTGTTGCGTGAGGCTCATCAATACGACTCAAATAGGAAGATTGTGCAACTAAGCTTGAGGCAACTTCTCAATCAAGGTTAGATATCACGAGGTACACCGTCATGTCAAGTCAAACAAATGTCAAATAAGCCCATTTATCTCATGTCAAAAACGAATGCAATGACCATCGGATTTAGCGCGAAACCGCTTTATCCGCCCTTGTTGATGGATTTACTATTTCTTCGTCCCTTTTAGGTTTTGCAGTCTTTTATGAGGCCATCTAATCGCAATAATGCTGGTACGAGGGATGTTACACGAACGAAGGGGTCTTTTCGGCACTCTGAATCTGCCCGGGGAGTCAGCCGTATCGCCATCATCTGCTCTAGCACTTGCGGCAGTAACGGTACGTGTTCGTACCTCTAAGCGCCTTCTTCACGCGCTCCCTACTCTTTATTAGGGAGCCTCTCCTTACCTACATAATGTAGTTTTGTGTTTTGTTGTGC